TTCAACTCGATAGTTGGATCGTCGATAATGACAATATAGAAGGAAAGAAGTTATGCGATAGTCCTTTTTCCTTCGTTAAATCTATACGCGTTCTTGACTTTCCGAAGATAAGATATTGTAAATAATAAGACAACAATTCAAGAAAGAAATATAGAAAACTAAAACAATCCAAGATAGATTACATTACTCGTTGTTCACAATATCTATTGATAAAGTATTACTGCTAATTGAAATTACACAATAAGTTTATATTATATATATATATATTCAGGACTATGTTGAAGAAGTTGCTTTTCAACTTAGATCTATAAAATCAAGAAACTTCTAATAGTTAGTATTATGTTCGATGTCTAGGAAAAACTCGCCAATAAGTCTTATTTCCGACTTCGTCTGAAGGCTCTTTGCATTCATAGTAATGCCGAGGAATTACTAGCAATGACTGATCTCCGGCTTTGAAGGTAACATATACATAGATCTCTGTGAGAACACGAGTTCGAATATGGCAACGACGAGTTCCGACTGCGGAATGTGGAGTAGGAAATTGGTGGGATCAAGGGACGTTAGTAACAGAGGGGGATTGGAGAGAGGAAGAGGAAGAGAGATATGGTTGGCGGTGGGGAAGGGTTAGAGGGGGGAAGACAGTGAAACAGAGAGAACAGATAACGCGGCGTATACGCGTACGTGCCAGGAAACGCCAATATGGAAACAGCTGATTGATTGAACAAGCTCGCTACGATCCCCTCGTAATCGTTCTAAGCTGTTCTAGTTGCATGCGTGGCGTGCACGTCACCATCGAGAATGGACCGAGAATGAACAGGAGAGTGAACCACCAGAGACTGGACCGGAGATTGGTACGAGTAAATGGCCGATTATTTCGGGACAACGCGCAACAAGGCACTTTAACGCATCATTTGGAAGTTCTTTCACTTTTTATCTTTAAATATTTACGTTTTTCCTTTCATACAGGATTAATCGTCATTTGATTTGATTGTTTTGTTCTTATCGCGATTAAAAATGAATTTATATATGTATATATATATATATATACAAATGCAATTAATAATAATGTGAAAAAAGAAATATGAACGCGTGATATGGTATACGCGATAGAAATGTTCGTATCGAAATAGAATAAATTAAAATATAGTGGCGATACTTATGAGAATTATTATTAGAAAATTTGACTTTAATAACAAATGGTACATTATATATTGCTCGTTGGATCCATGTATGATCCAAATATTCTTTACAAATGGTTACATTTTTCCTCGTTAACTTCTTATATTCGTTTCGATCTTAATAAAACATTTCCGAGATGGCTAAAAAAATGTTTTATTTTAATGTATGGTAGAGTTGAAGGAAAATCACGATTTTACGAGCATCTCAAATATTACTAGGTACGATCACGTACTATTTTGACAAAGATGCATTCAATTCGTTAGATAAAAAAGGATTCAGGATGAGAGTTCGGAGGAAGGACTGGAGTGCTGCTCTCGAAACAAGTGCTTACGTCGGAAATAATGCGACCAACGTACGGGTACATGCTAAACTCGACCGGTACGCGAATTAACGCTCGGGAAAATCGGATTATGTCGTGACCTACAGCGTAGCCCGTCTACTAACTCCTGCATTAGCCTCTCTTAGAGCAAATTGCGTTTATCCTTAGGTTCGTTGAATGATCGGCTTGTCGAGAGTATTCCACGTGCGTAATTTGCTAATTCTGGAATCCTAGAAACTCTCTATCAATTGTTAAGCTTTTTTATTTAATCGTATTTCGTGTTAAGAGAAAATTTTGGAGCAATAAGAGTTTCTCTCCTTGCGGAAGGAAGGTTGATAGCAATCGAAAAGAAAACATTTAAATAATTTCAACGCAACAGTACCTTCCTTTTTACCACGTAAGACACATTTGATAGAAGGTAAATATATTTTACGTAGTACTAAAAATAATGCATCGTACTCTGTTTACCGTTGAAAAACTTTATAATTGACTTTATTTTCTATAGCACTAGACAACTAACTACGGGGTCACGAGATTAATTTTCATTTGAATTTTATTATTATCTTGGATATATTGGAAAGTTTTTTCCGACTTCACCGACTTTTGATACGATTCCATAAAATAATGAATTGCTTGAAGTTTGCTTATCTGTAATTTGTACGTTTTCATTAAATATTCATCGGGTTTGATAAAGACTTGAAAATTATTGCCCAATTACAACGAGCACGATTGTTTCGTAATTCGATTACCATTTTATTTCGAATTAGTTAAAGTGTCTGAGCACGATCACGTACAACAAGAATTTTAATTACGTCCGATAGTGAAGGGTTCATAGTATTATTCAAAATGATTGACAAATTGACGTTTGGATTTTGAAATTGCAAGTCGTGTCATGACATTTTGTCTCATTTTATCTCCGTCCGATGTTAGCTGTTATCAAAATTAATATTTTTTAATGCAATAGAGCGTTACAATTAAAGTTATATTAAAAAATATATTGATGATAACATTGATATTTATTTTAATCGATGAAATATATACCTATACCTTAGGCATAGATTACAAGAAATGTATACTATATTACAAACTATATTTTGTCAATTAACTAGGACATACTCTATATATTTAACAGTCTAATATAATTATTGTTTTAGTTAGTGATAGAAAAATAACTAGAATTATTCAGTAACGACATCTCTTAGAGAAACACGGAATATTGTAGTAGGATTGCGATCAATTCTGCTTCATCGTTTGCTATATGAACGTTTATAATAGAAATATATTCTATTTTTTACTCCGTGTGTATTGTTTTATTTAGTTTAGAAATGTGTTATAACAATATGCAATAAAGGTATTTATAAAAATAAATCAAGATTTATTAAAAATATATCAAATACATTTTTGATTAGAAATTTCACGGCTTACCGTTTGTCGGTGTGATAAAAATTTTAACATAAATTTTGTAAAAAAAAATCGTAATTAAATTTTTCCGTTAGAATCCTATTATAAATGTAAAGATAATCGACGAGGATAGCAAGAAAAATTGCAGAAAATCCATTCGTTGGCGAAATCAATAAGAAATTGATATTTGAAACGAGACATTCCGATAGCGTATCGAATCCCTTCCCATTATGTATGCATTATCACCCTTTTACGATACGATTGTGTGACACATTTCAACGAAGAGAAACTATAAAAGCCCACTCACGGGATATAATCCATTACATCAGTGGTCCATTACGATCGGTGAAAAGTATACACGCAAAGCCACGTATACTATAGTATAATACTTACTATCAGAAATAGCATCCAGTATGATCCTGTATAGTGAAATTCAATAACACTCTTTGGTGGGAGAAAAGGGGGGAAGGATGTTATACCTTTTAATTTTGTTGACGCCTTCTTTTTCACACGTATCACGTTATTTTTTCTCTCCTATTGACAATGAGTATAGGATAGAAATGATCACATTTTTCTATACGTACTACCTAACACGAGAACAAAATTGTAAATAAAATATACCTACGCGTTATAAAATGATAAATTTGAGATGGAGTTAGCTAGCCATCAATACACAAAATACAATTCATTTTAAATTTATTTTTATATATTTTATATTAATTCCTAAAGCATATAATATTTTTATGAGATAGTAATATTATTGTAAATAATAAAAGTTTAAATAGAAATGGCAGAGAATACAAAATTCGAAGTTATGTCGCTGGTTTTTTTTTTTTTATCGTTTTTTACTGTAAAAGAGATGTGAAAATGTCATTTCGCAATGTACAGATTTGAAACTCGAGAATGAAACGTAAATAAAAATGTTGATGTTATCTTGTCGATCGATGGGAACGCTTAATTCTGTTAAAATACTTCCCGACAATCTTTTTCAGTTCCATCTTGATCGTGGAATACAGTTGCAAGAGTGATGGCTTTGTTTTATCGAAAACTCCGTACGCTTACTAGTGCAATAATATTCGTCGTTGAAGATGGTATTATTCTATAACCGTATATCCAGTAAAAAATAAATTTCAAAAGCGCCTGGCTGGACGACGCAAACGAATAAAGCTGAGATACACAGTCACGAATATGACCACTGTGAAACTGGTTGCATGGTGGGAATACGTATATATGTATATATGTATGTGAGTATTCATGCAAATGAAATATGGCGAGACGAGGAGATGTGCAATGAGAGAAAGAAAGAAAGAAAGAAAGAAAGAGAGAGAGAGAGAGAAATACACTGACAGACGGATGAATAGGGAATGGGGGTGAGGGGGGAGGGGAGTAGAGTAAGAGAAAGCACAGGACGAACAGGACCGGCAAAGAGTCCAATTTTTAATGAAAGCTCGGAAAGACCCGTAAGTGCGTACCGCAGGCTTATTTGTGTGATCCTCTAGGACCCTTCAGTCGGAAGAGTTCACCGGAATCATCATCAGTGCAGCAAGCAATCTGATCCAGTTACAGGTCCAATTTCTAGATACGAAAGAAGAGGGGAAAGAGATTTCAATAATTGCGACTCGAAAAAAATCGACAGTAAACTCTCTCGAGTTCTTAATCGTACATTGAAGCACAAAGCATTATTGGCTTCTTGATCGTTCTTTCTGTTCTTCTCATCATTTTTTATATTAGTTTCTCTTTCTATCTTATTCGATTCAGTATATTTTCTCGCATGTTTCTATTCGCTCTCTCTCATATATCATATTTGAGATATATATATTTATATACGTTTGAGTCTGATGTTATAAAAACATCGAACTGATTTCGATGACCATTCGGAAAAAAGCTCATCAAAATCAAATGAGAATGAATGGAAGAAATGGAAAGAAAGAAAGTAGAGAGCTGCGTTCGATGGATAGGAAATGTTTGATGAAATGTTTGGAACAAAAAGTAGAAAAAAATAATTAGTTAGGTTATTAGAATAATCACGAAAATTGTAAGAAGAAATACATATATAGTTTTTTAGTAACAAAAATTGAATTTATATAAAAATTAAATAAATCGAATATCAAAAAATGTTGAATATTGAGATGAATAGAAATATTTCTTTATTTTAACCAAATCGTTTTTTCCACAAGTCCTTGAAGGAATCTCTGAAAAAAAAAAAAGGAAATAAGAGAGTGCCAAGAAATTAATAGTTTTTCTTCTTTTTTTAGAGAAGATCACAATAATAAGTTTATAGTGATTAATTAGGAAAATAAAAGAAGGCCTACTTGCGACACACGCAAATACCGCTTCTGCAATATCCTCCAGCTTTTCCCATGCTAAGACAATTAGCCGCACAAGCCGAAGAACCAATCTTCCCACCAAAAGATAAAAGGTCACAGGTCACTCGACGTTGTCTATCAGCTCGTTCCTCGACCATGTCTTCTCTGAATTCTTCATCGAGTTCCATTAGATTTTCCAATCCATCATCTGAAAACGTTCAATATTGTTTATTTGTTAGTTCAAATCAGATATTTTTATGATTACATTTATTGAATTAAATAACTTTGTTCTATTTTATATTTATTCAATTTTATCATATTAAATAATTGACCTTCGACCGGAGCAGCTATGTTCACTGTCACTACGACGAATAAAATAGAAAGAAGAAAACAGATTTTCGTCATTTTAAATAATTTATGAGAGATTCGTAATGTGTTATTCGATAGAATTATTAGAGTAGAATGTGCAGCTTTCTTTAACTCGTTTCCCTTTATATAAATACTATCTACCATGTAACATTATGTCAATATAAAAGTCCTTTGTCTTGACGAATATCGACAAGTACACGAGTGATTCCCCTTGTACTAAAAGACACGCGGATTTTCCTTTTAAGATAATGGGTGAAACCCATGATAATTGAAATAATTCTTTATGTGTTTCTTTATGTTTATTCTTCTGCTATATTTATCATACAGCTACGTGTTTATATTTATATATCAGAAGAATGAAAGATACATAAATGATTCATTGGGAAGTCATTCGCTGATTTATATGGGTCGTTGACATCTCTATAGGCTGTAATAACGTATTTAGAATATTAATTGTAAGTATAACAAAATATAATAAATTAGAAACTTATTTCGGTTATGATAAATAAATATTTATCATGTTATATAACGATTATCTTTGCGACTTTTATAATGAGATTATTTATTTATTATCGAGTAATTATTTTTATGTAGCAATAAAAGAATCTTATCTTTATTTTAAATAATTATTTCCTTGTGTAAAAATATTTATGTATACATATATATATATATATGAGAAAATTCTTATAGGATTCAATGTTTAATTCAGCTTTTTAAATTAGTACATCGTTGATTAAACACAGAGCAGACAACTAACAATTTGAGAATGTATTAGCAGTAAGACAAATTTCACGGTGCTGCTTGTCCGTAATTTTGCGTAATTGCAGAACGTGTACGTGCGTAGTTCGTTACCTTGGATTTCCCAAGTGTGTAGCACGATGTGTCAATAAATGACATTAGACGTGACTTCTTGTGCGAGATTGTTGAACGATAAATACATATACAGATCAGATAGAAATGTGTCTAATCCTAAGATTTCTTATCTTTTTTTCGACAACAACTCGTTTTATAAATTTTAACAAGATTATTTTTTCTCGTAATTTGATTGCTTAGGAAAACGATAATAATAAGGACGTATAATTAATTAAAAAAGAATTATTTATTATCAAAGATTAATATTAATATTGTATTGAATGAGATATAAGTCCATTGGATGGATTAATCAAATTTTCTAAGTGTCGTAAAGTTGATTATATGTCGTTCATTTCTTTAATTAGATTTATCGTATACAAAATAAACAATTAGATTTATCTAATATCATAATACGTAGCGTAATTTTCTTGCCAAATGCAGTACGTTAATTATCTTTCGTCTCTTACTATATAAGCAGACTTCGTGTTTATTACAATAACCACCGTTGAAATGTAAATGGGCAATACATCATTAACTTCATCCAAAGTTACCACCAAATCGACAAATCCGTTCCAACTCTTCCGATTTTTTAAGAGTTAGACTTGTTTCTGAAAATTGTCATATTTTATATTTTTTATTAATTTCATTTAGCTTTTTTTCTATATTTTTTCAAGTTTAAAATTATATTTATTAATTTTATTTAAAACCTTTTTCTAATTATACATCACTCACTAAAAGTTGACTATGGTGAGACCACCATAAACTCTAAAAAGAGAAAAATAAAAAGGACTGGAATTTTGCTATTTTTATAAGTATTTATATATTATTAATTAAATTAAGAAAGTTTAATTATGAAAGAATTTATTTCTTTCCTAAGATTTACATAAATGTAACATTTATTAAAATTTAAGTTCTTTTAAAAATATAATCTAATTAGCTGTTAACTTTTTCAAAAATCTCTTTTTATTATTCGTTCGTTTGGTTGAAATATTATTCAAAACATGTAGAATTATATTAAATTTACATTATAATATGTAGAGTAATTTATCGTCGAAGGCAATACGAAAGTTATTTTATCTCTTATTATATCAGTTACAAATGCAGACACGGTTCTTGTTACAGTGTCCACCTCTCCAATGTCCTTGAATAGCACAGCTTGCGGAGCATCCAGCGTTACCACCAACCTGACAAGAAGTATACACTTCCGGTTCGTCAACAATAGAATCTTCAGCATTTGAACCTAAAAAATGTCGTTTTATGCAAGATTTATAAATTTAATTTTCTATATTTCCTATGTATATATTTTAAGCCTTTGCAGGACTTTGAAATATATCAAAAAAATTACTTTATTTAATATATTTTAATAATTTCTATGAATTTGTCGTATTACTTACCATCGATTGCCATAGCTGAGATTGTTACAATAGTAACGAAAAGAAAAGCAAGTAAGAGTTGGAATTTGGCCATTTTTATAAGTATTAATTATTAATTGAATCAAAACTATACTGTCGTTCCAGAAATGTTCACCTTTTTATATACAGAGAAATCTAATCTGGCGATAATGTCAATACTCATGATAAAGATCGAAATTAAACAAAAAAACACCTGTAGAGCACACATCTATACATAAATTACGACTTTACATGACGTTTATTATGCTTCATGGAGTTTTCAAAATATTTTCAATAGCATTTAATTGAAAAGTTATAATCTTTGTACTAATTTGATATCATTCTTGGTTCGTTATTTTTATCTTATTGCGTTTTTCTTTTCTTATCAGGATATTTTTTAAAAGTTAAATACATCGCTTACTAATAATAAAAATTCTAAAAAATTTAATCTTTATAATAAATTAATACCACTCTACCAAATGTAAATATAATTAAATTAAATATCGACGAATAAATTGAAAAATATTATACTAAATACAAATATATTACACGTGAATAAAAATCAATTTATAAACGAAAAATTTTGTATTAATAATATAAGTGTGTTATGTAGATAATTATAAGCGACAAAATTAAGGAATAATTAACGTTTAATGATAGACTTGTATTATTTATCATTTACATAAGTATAACTATACACGTGTTCTACTTTTAGAAAGTTCATGATATACCTATTTATTTAATCTAATTTGTAAGGACAGTGGTAATAATATAATGTTATAAGAAGTAACTTTATCTTTCGATAAAATAGTCATATCGATTATCTAATTGACAACCAAAAACAAAGGAAATGACGAGTTTATTTTTTTTGTATTGAATTCATAGATAATTATTAGGGTTTCTTTTTAGATACAATGATTAGTAGATCTTCGATTAATTTGTAAGATTAGATTAGGCAGAAGTTACGTCCTTATTATTATCACCTTTAATTAGAAAATCAAACCTACTGAACTAGTTAGCTATAGCGACCTAAATTATAATTAATTTTTCTAATAAATTATTATTTTCTAAAATGTAAGTACTATAAAGAATATAGAAAACTAATGTAAGAAAAACATATTGACCTAATAGAAAAATAATACTCATAAAAAAGAATTGATGAATAAATGAATTTCTATACGACCGTAAGCATATATTATTTATCGTTTTTATAAACATAAATGCAAGTGTTCTTTTTTTTGATATACATATTCATTCAAATTGATATACAAAGTAAGTTATAAAAATACGTTAATGTAGAAATGGAACTTTTTAAACTTTATATGAAAATTTCTTTATGGATAAATAATAGTACGCCTAAATCAAGGTAAATAATTTCTTTATTATTTTACAAATTACTTTTATAAGAAAGTTAAACATTTGTAGTCTCTAGCGTTGAAAATACAGAACATAGAAAGAGAAGAAATAAACGTAAATAAAACACAATTATACTATAATAGATAAAAATATGTAAAATTGTAAGATGTATCTTTTCTTTTCTCACATGATAACTCTTATTGCGTGTTTCTACGATTATATAATAATATATAGAAAATATTATGAAAAATATGTTGCAATTTTGTTGTCAAAAAAAGAAGAATTAATGATTTAATAATAAAAGAATTTATTTCTTTCCAATGATTTACATAAATGTAACATTTATTAAGATTTAAGTTCTTTTAAAAGGATAATCTAATTAGCTGTTAACTTTTTCAAAAATCTCTTTTTACTATTCGTTCGTTTGGTTGAATTATTATCCAAAACATGTAGAATTATATTAAATTTACATTATAATATGTAGAGTAATTTATCGTCGAAGGCAATACGAAAGTTATTTTATCTCTTATTATATCAATTACAAATGCAGACACGGTTCTTGTTACAGTGTCCACCTCTCCAATGTCCTTGAACAGCACAGCTTGCGGAGCATGCAGCGTTACCACCAACCTGACAAGAAGTATACATATCCGCTTCGTCAACAATAGAACCTTCAACGATAGAATCTTCAGCATTTGAATCTAAAAAATGTCGTTTTATGCAAGATTTATAAATTTAATTTTCTATATTTCCTACATATATATTTTAAGCCTTTGCAGGACTTTGAAATATATCAAAAAAATTACTTTATTTAATATATTTTAATAATTTCTATGAATTTGTCGTATTACTTACCATCGATTGCCATAGCTGAGATTGTTACAATGGTTACGAAAAGAAAAGCAAGTAAGAGTTGGAATTTGGCCATTTTGAAAATCGTTGATTTTCTACTAACTTTAATATAATTGTTTTTTCGCAAAGATTTTCTAACTTCTTCAATCAAACTACAGTTTCTTAATAAAGTAAAAACGCTGGTTGGATGAATATATATATGAACGAATAATGATTAAAGATAATATATTACATAGTTCAAGTATTGTTTTATCAAAAAGATAGAATCATTACATGCTTTGAAATCATTATCGTGTTTATATTTTTATTAATCTTATCAGAATCTACTCAAAAAGGTTTGTAAATTGTTTACCAATAATCTCATTAATGGTTAAGTTTTTTCAAAAATTTATCCTTCTATTTTAATATCAGTACTATTTAGATTAATATCGGCGAATAAATTAAATATTATCGCGCGCGCGTTATAAATAAAATTACATTACACGTAGACGTATAACGTGTTCGAGAAACAATACAACTCTCATAAAAGAAGTAATCGATGTTATATCATTTGTTTTTTAATTATTACCATCAACAATCAAATTGCTAAAAACTTGTAAAATTATAAAATTAATCTTTTTGTTTTTTCATTGTAAGAAGTTTTTTTATTGAGTAAGGAAGTCGAGCACGAAACACTCTGTTTATAAAAGTGTATTTTTTTAAATTCCTAAAATATTTCGATAAAAATCGGTCAAATAATAAAGGAATAACAATATTTGTAATACAGTATATCCAATATCCAACTAACTAATAATACTGGAATTAGTTATCAAATCTGTGCCCCGTGAATCCGCTAATTAATTTATTAGTCTGTATTCTATATTTTGTAAAATTGATAAAAAACTAATAATTTTTAATTCAGTAATCAATGAATTTGCAACTCAGTTGAACATCCTTCATCATCTTTCATTTATTGTGTGTTACTGGTTTGTCATTTAGATGAAAAATGTTTTCTAAATTATATGCTATTTTTAAAAAGTTTATCCGACTTAAACTTTTTATTTTTAATACTACTCGGCATCATATTATTTACACAAATCATTTTTTATTTTATCCTATCGATTTGTCATAAGTCTAGTTGATCTTTATCGAATTCACATGCTATAAAGTCAATTTTTAAAATAGGCTTCACGTCACGATCAAAAACATATATTTTACCGATGGACGTAACAACATATAAACAACATATAAATTGAAATAATCAATTTTTTTTTCTGTACAGATCAACGGCTCATATCTCTGTAAATTTTCCTGATTTTTCTAAAAAAATTCCAATCGACTTAGAAAAATATATATATTAAAAAGAATACAAAAATCTTTATCTTTTATCCTATGGAAACACAAATAAGTTGTAAAATTTTATTTCTATTAATTTTTTGTAGATAAAGAAACTAGTATATAATAAGAAAATTGTTCGCTTGGGCGTTGAGAGAAAATGAGAAAACGTACGCAGAACGCAACAATACCTAAGCATATAATTCTTTTAAAATGATGAAAAATGAATTTAAAAGAACAAAAAAAAAATTGTACAATGAAAAGAAATATTATGTCTCAATTTATAAGATATATTAAAAAAATTGAATGAATCCCAATTAAAAAAAAAATTGTTATAAGAAATAATGCAAAAGAAATGTAGTCGTTAAAAAATTAGAAGTTTAATTCAAAGAAGTAGGTTAAATATTAAAAAGAGAATATACACAAATATTATTATTTTTAAATAAATTCATTATCATATGTTGAAAAATAAGATATACACGGAAAATTATTTCCAGTCTGTTGTACGCTTCGCTTGATAATTGTCGTGTGCAGCAAACCTGTATTCTTTACATTTGGACAACAGTTTCAGTTAATTCTAATAGTAAGAAAAAGGAAAAGGAATTACATTAAAAAGGAGACACAGTTTAATTGTTTTAGCTCATTTTTATATATTTATATTACCTACATATTTAATCTTTTTTCCTACAATAATCTAACCCTTGCAAACGCAGCTATCTCCCACCCAGATTCCAGCTGCTTTTCCTTTACTCCAACAGGCCGCATTACAAAGCCAAATTGGGCCTCCTTGGCCTTTGTAAAGAGAATCATAGCGTTCCTCGCTAAGATCGGAAAATGAGTCGACGGAAGGTTCTACCAATATACAAATTATTTTATTTATTGTAAATATAGATAATTGTATATATAGATAACATAATATTAAATTTAAGTTAAATTAACCTTCTAATTGTATAGCCATGACTGCCATCATGGTGACGAAAAGAAAAGCAGCAAGAAGATAGAATTTCATTTTTGCAATTGTTTTTTTTAGCTTCAGCTTTCAGATCTGAACTATTATTATATCGTCGCAATGAATGTTTATATAGTCATACGATGTGTATTATCAAAATTTTGATAGTATACTTATCTAATATCTGAAGATAATCTAAAAGAAAGTACGCCATAACGAAATTATTTTTACATTATAATTTCAATGATATACACCCGCCGACTTTTTCACTTGGATAAATTAACCACTCGAAACGATTTTGCGGCTTAAGTTTAATTGAAGATTAAATTGAATTAGATAAAATTTAAAAGAAAATGTATATAAACACTTTTTATTTAAGAAAAATATATTTTTATTTGTTAACACACACAAAATTAAATATATAAGATTACTTATTTCTAATCTATTGTATATTTTGTTTGATAATTGTCATGTGCAGCAAACCTGTTGTATATTCGTTCAAACAATAGATACAAAAAATTGTAATTCCTTCAATAAGGAAAAGAAAAATAATTACATTAATTGTTTTATTTCTTTTATTTTATATAGTTTATTATATTATTTACATGTTAAACCTCTTTCGCTGCAATAGCCTAACGTCTACAGTAGCATACGTCTTTTTTGCAATATCCACTAGGATGTCCTTTATTCCTACAGACTATGGAACATAACCAATTTCCACCTCCCACGGAACCGCATCGAAATTTTTGATGGCATACTTATCTAATATCTAGAGATAATCGGCATGTACGTTAGCGATAACGAAATTATGCTTTCATTCAAATGTACAAAAGTATATTATTGTTTTTCTAATACCAATATATAATTTAAATATAAATTGTTTACAAAGAGAAATTCTTACGAGTAGTGAAAAAACAATACCTCATTGGTTCATTTCTCAAGTGTTTTTTTCACATATATTTATTTTTCATAAAACGTATTCGAATTTTACAGCTCAAAGTGAAGATAAGAAAAGATAATGTATGTGGAGAAAAAATAATAGTAATGATAAATAATCTCAACATTTTGTTTTTATTTTAAGTAAATATGATACACAATATTATCTTAACTATCTTTCGATATGTTAAATATGAAATGATATTTGTAATATCAATTATTCAACTTTTTTTGTTTATCACTAATTGTCTAGAAATTGAATCGTTTTCTTAAAAGATCCAACATTAGCTCTCTAAAAATTAAAAACAACGGATTAAAAAAGAGACGAAAGAATTTTTATAATTTGTTTATATATATACTTGACGGTATCTTCTGTTAATGTCAACAACAATTGATTGTATCCAAACATATATCTATCTTTGACAGAGGATAACATTGTACAAACGATTACTCACTCTCGACAATGACAGATCTCATTTCTGCAATGGCCACCGGCTCTTCCTCTTGCGATACAGCCAGCAGCACAAGCACTGTCGCTAACCCATTCACCAATAATGGGAATTCGGCAAGTGGCTCTTCTGTATCTCGTGGGATTAGTCGTCTCTAATTCTTCTGGTAATTTTTCATTCATAAAATTATATCCCGAACTTTTTTCTTCTGTTATGATTTTTTTTTGTTTTATTTATAAATAAATACGAATTATTAACGTGTATGAATGATATTAAAAGTGATCAAAATAAATTTTTCAGAAATAAACCTTCGAACGGTGCTGCCATTATTGAACTACCAAACAGTACGACCAGTATAGCAAAGAGCAACGTGTTGATCTGGATCATCTTGATCATCTCAATTCAGGGTACTTTAACAAAGCAATTTTACAGTTAAGCATACGAAGAAGAACTGTTTTTAACGCCGCGAACTGCTGCGTTATATATCCTACAAACACAATTAAAAAACATTGCATGTGTCTCTGGAGAGAAAACACTATAACATAATTCGTATGATTTCATTGAAAAGCTAATACGAACAATAAGAACAAATATTGATTTAACTAAAATATCTCAGGGAATAACCATATCTTTTTTATTTCTTACTTGTATCTTTCTTTCTCCTGTTTTCCCTCTCTCTCTCTCTCTCTTTCTCTTTTATTTTGTTTTCCTTGTTTAAAGGAAAATACGTTAGATCGAGAGTCGGGGAAATCTTGGGAAATAACGTAGAATTTTGAGATTGAAATCTCATGAACGTAATCGTTTCTGTTAGGTAGTGAACTTTATACACAATATATATACAATATATATAAATATTTCTAATTATTTATTTTCAAATATTTAATCTTTCGAAAAGTACGTAAAATTTTGTTCTATGATAATATACATTTTATATTAAAAACTTCTTAATTTTTTTTATTTATTATTTACCATAGTGTTTCAGTTATATAGAGAAAGTCAAATAATTCAACTCAATCAATAGAACAAATGTAGTGGAATTATTCTGACCGTGTGTATAAAGTGACTGGGACAAATGAACGGTTTAATTCGTTATAATAACTCTATAATCGATTAATTGTTTATAGCGCATTGCATTACAGTATACGGATCAAAATGAATAAAAAAACAATACGCATCTTTTAATCTCGCAAGTGTGTATACATACAATACACATATGTATCTATAAATATAATTGTTTTGTCTACATAAATTATCAAATATATACATTATTAATTTTCATATGTATTCGTCTGATAGCTATTGACTAAAATCGACGACGATAGTACTGTTGTAGTTAAATAAATTCGAGCAAATTCGAATATTCTCGAAATATATCATGTTGCCCTTTTCCGACATTAATAAATATTAAGATAATTATTTGTACGCGATAAATTATTTATTGAATATGCTAAAATAGATGTTCATAGATTATATAAATGCGTTCATTATCCCTATTATAATATTCTTCCTCTTTAATAGATAACGTAAGCACTATTTCCGACAGATTCATTGATAGCTGTTATCACGTAAGTTCAAGATCTCCAAAGTTTATAAGTATGCCCTTTCATGTCAGTTACTTTTCATTCTTGATATGTTCAAATTGTATAGACAGCATATCAAAATCATACGATAGAAAAGTAAGATAAATGTGACCGATTAATCAAATCATTTCATATATTCAATATAATAGTTTTATTATAATAATTTATTTCATTCGATAAAACAAGGAAAAACACACATTAAGTAATTAATTATAAATTATTCAATTAATAAGACTTTTTCTATTAATCGATAAATTATTCGGTTTTTTAACCCTTTATGAATTTTTTTTAAAAATTTTATCTATCACTTTGAGAATAAATGATATAAGTGCGCTCAATAAATGAATAGATGATAACAAGATCTCGATATTATGAAATTAGCACATTCGTGAAATCGATGTAGGTATTATAAATGATTTTGAAGCGATTATCGATTGATTATTGATTAGATATATTACATAATTTACACGTATTATTAATAATTTAAAATCATCGGTATATATCTCGTAAAATTTCAAGTTATTACGCTTCAATAAAAATCGATAAACAGTAAATAAGTTTTATTTGTTAAAAAAGTATGTGTAATTTCTTCGATAACGATGAGTCTTAATATAGCGAGAATTGATCTTATTTTTATTTTACTACAATATAAGAAGTTATTATATTATATATATTAAGAATATATGAAAATATCTGTTTAAAAAATATTATATAAAAAAAAGCTGACAACTTACGTAACATCTAATTTTTAATATTGCACTGTCTTTATTATAAGGTATGTATTTATTTCCTTATAAATCATCCAAATTAAAATTTTTGTAAATTTTAATTGTTTTATAACATAATTAGGAATTTGAATCTTTCAAACCTATTATATAAAACGGATATTAGAGTTGAAAGATGCTGATTATATCACGTATATTATATTATTAACGAGGCAACAACTAATCGATAAACAAGATTGGATAACGATTAAATGAACAGATTAATTTAATAAATCAGCTTGAATGAGCTAAATTTGATAATTTTTATCATGCGTTGAATACGAAAAGCGAAACTTTATAAATATGTCGATCGGAAGTAAGATAAGAAAGAACGATAAAATATTTTTAATGAGAGTGTAAATTCACAGAAAAATATTAATTAACAACAAAATTATACATTTTATATTTATAATATGGAAAGTTTAGCAGATCTTTTCAAGTCAACTAAACTATCTAATTTTACTGATTGTAAAACAAACAAAAATATGAATTAAGGCAAAATATTATCCACAAATATCATTTATAATGTTTAAACTTTGATCGATATAAAACTGAAAAATATAATTTACATTTTACAAATGACAAATAACATCAGAACTGTAATTATCGTATTTTTATCTTATTACTGTATCTATATCCTATCATTTTACAATGAATGAAACAAGCAGTGTCTCCTACTCGTTTTTCAATTACTATAATTCATTTTACAAATTGATTACAATCTCTCATTGATCAATTTGCAGCGCAAATGATTAACAATAAGTATAATCTGAAAACGCACTCTAGATTCATAATCGTGACTTAAGATAATGCTTGAAATAGTTTGCATTATTGTATAAGCCTTTACCGGCTTTGTAGAAAACTGCATTATCTGTTAAGAAAAATAAAAGTAGAGCGCTGACTGACCGACTATTCTGACGATAATAACATTTTTATTATAATATCAGTCGCGTACAGATTGATATATAGGTTATGAAAAAACTTTGCATACATCGCTCTTATTTTCTCAATTGATAATAATATTATCGTTTTTTAACACCTACGCCATCATGTGATTATAAACTATTTCTGATACGTATCTAATAAAGCTGTTCGTTCATTGGTTAATAAGTAGCCAATTATATTAAGCAACGTGCCCGTCTACGAATGTATTTTCTAACAGATGGGTGTACGAATCTTTTCTGTCAAATGAAAGTGTTGTGACAATTAAGGATAAACAAAGTTAAAATACACATTAATAAGACAACGAAAGATATTTCATGTTCTATGGAAATTTATGCTCATTAATTCCCACTAAAAATTGAATATCGATTACTCGAAATATACATTATTCGAGTTTGATACACTGCAAGTTCGTGATAGTTGACGCACAGCAGATCACTGATGGTGGTTCAAAAGTTGTTGTTTGATTAATTATTTTTCTGAAAGATCACAAAATGCTGGTCTTCTGTGATATTTTTTATTTTAAAGTGCTTATATTTGCTTATCTATTGGTAAGTTTCTATACAACAAAATCTCACATTATATTTTCTTTTTTCAAAATTCTTTTATTTCGTCTTTTTCAACTTCTAAGCGGTACTTGACACGTACTTAAGTTCCATGGTAATTTTGAAATAATTTAGAAACTGATAAATTTCTAAACGTCTTATTATAAACAGCAATATATTTGTTATTTCAATTTCCATATAGAATTTTCTTTAATTACTTTAATCTATAAATGTGTTTTAAAAAAATAACCTCAAAATATGTGACAAGCTGATGTTCAAATAGGTTTTTACCCACTGTATATATACTTATATATATATATTACTGTACAGTACGATATACTTATTTCATAATATATTTTCATACAATTTATTTATGTGAATATTGTCAGAATTTTATTTTATTTCAAATGTGGTAGAAAAGATCTAAAGTCCCATCATTGATAATCAAATTATTTGTTGTCCATTGATTATGTTTGAACAAATTTTGTCAATTAATGTAAATCAATTAACTTTTCAGATATTCTTACCTAAAAGTTTAGGAAGCGAGGGTGCTGTTTCACTTACTCAAAAAAATATTGATCATACATTAGGTAAGTTACAATAAAAATATTAAAAATGTATGAGTTATCATTTTATTACTATATCAAAAATAAATGTATTTCTTTTACTTTTTTTAGCATCCAATGAACTCGTATTTATAAACTTTTATGCAGAATGGTGTCGCTTTAGTAATTTATTGGCACCAATATTTGAAGAAGCATCTCATAAAGTACACGCTGCTTTTCCAAATCCTGGAACTGTAGTAATGGGTAAAGTAGACTGCGACAAAGAAGGTTAGTTTTCTAAAATAAAAATTAAGAGATGTATACATTGGATTATTCAGAAAGTAATTTCGTTGTTTTCGACGAAAAATAAAAGACGATTTTTTCGTATTTAAAATAAAGTTTATTTCGATATATGTCGATCATTCTGTTAAATTATGTTTTGCCATTTTGTTGGCAGCTGCAAAATTTCACACAGTAACTATTTTTAATTATTATGAATTTTAGGATCTGTAGCTTCAAGGTTTCACATTTCTAAATATCCAACATTAAAGGTTATTAGAAACGGACAGCCAACTAAAAGAGAGTATAGAGGACAACGCTCTGTTGAAGCTTTTGAACAGTTCATTAAAAAACAATTACAAGATCCTATTAAAGAATTCTATGACTTGAAAGAATTAAATAATCTTGATGATAAGAAGAGAATGATTATTGGATATTTTGATAGGAAAGATATTCCGGAATATCAAATGTTCAGAAGGGTAGCAACAAATTTGAAGGATGATTGTCAGTTTCATGTCGGATTCGGGTAAGACATTAATATCAATTAAATAGTTTATATAAGATATATAAAATGTAGTTACGACTTATAATATCTGACAAATTAGATATATTTAAAAAGAAAAAAGTAAATTAGTCGTAGATTACAATAATATTATAAGTATATGCTACTTTCTGATTGACGCCGTAACAATATTAATTTTATTTAACAAGCACTTGCTCCAATGAAAACTGTGAAATAGGACAGCATTTTCACTTGTTGTAAGTAAAGATGTAATAAGTAGTTATATCTCAATATTGGAATTGTATAATGGTATCTTTAATATGCTTGCTATATCTGATATGGACTTGTATTATTTTATTTATGAAACTAAATTTATTACAGCCAGTGTTTAAATATAAATATTATCATAATAATTTTTTTGTCCAAACATAATTTGTATTATATTTTAATTATTTAAATTCCATCATAGTCCTGTTACTGAAGTTATAATTAATGGATTAATAGAGATGTGAGTAAGGCCATGCATCCACCTGGTCAACCAATTGTTGTCTTCCGATCGGATAAAGCATTATCCAATGATGAAGATGAAACTTATACCGGCAGTTTGAAATACTTTGACGAATTAAATATTTGGGCTCAAGAAAAATGTGTCCCACTTGTGAGGGAAATTACATTCGAAAATGCAGAAGAATTAACCGAAGAAGGTTTACCTTTCCTTATATTATTTCATGCTCCTGATGATACTGAGAGCGTCAAAAAATACAAAGATGTTGTAACTAAAACTTTGATAGATGAGAAACGTAAGTTTAATCATGTTTATTACATTACTGTATTACTGTATATATTGTATATAAATTATTTTGTTATACTTTTAGAAAACATTAATTTCCTCACTGCTGACGGTTTGAAGTTTGCACATCCTCTTCATCATTTGGGAAAAAGTGCTTCCGATTTACCATTAATCGCGATCGATAGTTTTCGTCACATGTACCTGTTTCCTAGCTTCCAAGATATCAATATAGAGGGAAAACTGAAAGCTTTCATTCATGACTTATATTCTGGAAAACTTCATCGAGAATTTCATCGTGGACCTGATCCGCCTAGTTTTGAATTACCACAAATTACAGGACACGTTAAAGTGCCTACAACTCCACCAGAATCCACGTTTAAAAATCTCGCGCCAAGTAAAAATAGATACACTTTGCTTAGGGATGAATTATAATAGTGTTATTATGGTGATACAACAAAATGAAGTGAAACTTACACAATGAAATTATAAAGTTTAGCCATCAACAGCAAATTAATTCAAATTATTAAACAGAAAGGCTTTGTAATAATACATACAAGCGGGTAGTGATCATCTGTATTCTATTTATATTCTTGGTCTATATCGCGTTGATAAGCCTCAGTTATAAAAATGTGTTAGAAAAATTTTTTTATTATGTCTAATAGCATTTTAATTTTTCGTATTAACAAATTTCATTGAAAATATATATATATATAAAATATATATTTATATATATATATTTAATATACAATTAAAAAAAGAATTAAAATTGTAGATGTATAAAGCCTCATTTCAGGAATATTATAATCAATTTTATTAATTATTAGTAATGGAAAAAACTATAAAAATTTAAATATAAGAAAATAGTCGCTTTCATTCTATATTTTTACATAAATTTTTATTACTTTCTTACTAAAGCTAATGAAAATATCTTGACTACAATTTATGGAAAGAAAACTCAAATATTGTACATCTCCCACTGTCAATATTTACATATTAGATTTTATACTACTATTTAGAATGAAGAAAATAGATAAATGAGAGATTATGTGAAATGCAATTTCTTAGAGATATCATTTAATCAAAATATCGTATTCTCACTTTTCATTTATCATGATTTAACATTTGAGTAAAACAGTAGATAAGCCTCTATACTTATAGCTCGACGAAAATATCCTTTACCTAATTTGCGTCTGATATTTATTGCAAATAATAACAATTAGAGGTATTGAAACTCAGAAAATACTTCATGAAAATTAGAAATTACATAGAATAAAATGGTCAAAAAACAAACAAGCAGGAAGTCAATAAATACGATTAACAAGTTACGTGTTAATTGGATGAACGCAAAGTTAATTCTCAATTGCGTGCGTGTTGCGTGCCTGCATAGTAATAGTTTTTAGTTCATTAATTCGTTTGAGATTACGCTCTCTATGAGAAGCGTATTGCAAAAGATAATTGGATCGAAAGTTTTGTATATTCGAAAAAAATGACGAAGGAAAATGGTATGAAAATGTTAAGATACTTCTTCAAAGTGTTGTACGGATAATGGTATTATTAATTTACTGTTAATAAAGAGATTCTAAGTCAACCGTTCTGCCGGTTAAACATTTCTTTACATAAATAAATTGTATATAGGGGGATTGGAATGCATTGATTGGAATATCAGCATCCATTATAAAATGGCTGTATTTAGGGATAACTCGATTACATGTTTTACATTCCATCAGTATACGTCACCACCTTTTATATCGACTAATCTTATAGTACACAACACACATTACACGTAACATGATTGTATACGTTTCTAACATCACACATACTTCTTCATTTCTTCGTTTTATTTATTTATTTTTTCTTCTCTTTCTTTTTCTCATGTTATTTTTGTTATGTATATATTTTTATTATGTCATTTGTAACTTTTTTTTTACTTTTTTTATTTTCCACCTTACGACGAAACGTGAGTGGAGCAGATTCGAATAGAAACATTCATTCGCAGGTAACGTAGTTCGGAGAAATTGAGGAGGGCATTGTTTTAAACGAAAATGAACAATTCGTTATTAGGAAATTCCTATATTATTTCTGTACGTTGGCGGATCACGAAAACGAATGATCAATAAAATATACTCGGAAACGTTCGATGGTCGATTAGGATAATAGATTATTTTAAAAGTCTCGTATTCTTCTTTGATTTCGTTCACGAACGATAAATAAATTGAAACGTTCGAAAGTACACTTCTGACTATCGAAAACTAACTCTTTTCATTGAAATGACGAATTTTCGGAAACAACAATTCTACGTATCGTAGTTCAATAACCAATGCTACCACTCCCTTATCTTTGCATTTCTACCAAGCCATTTAATTAATTAACGTAGGAACACGCGCTGTATACTTCTTCGGTTATGTATGTATGCATATATGTACTGACGCGACGGCATTATGTATTTATGTAACCAGCATAGCTTTTATTTGAACCATCTTATACACGTAAATGCACGCAACTTGTCACACGTATATATGTAATGATATTCTTATATGTGTACATATGTACACGTATATATGTATATTATTTTTTATCCCAACAATAGCCTTATCGTATCGCTTTTTATTTTCACGCATCTGGCTAATAAGTTTTACATGATTATTTGAATTACGCGTTTACATGTTCAAATATTTCTTTTCTTTATTATTTTTTTTGTACACTTATACCCGTTTCTTCTTTTTTCTTTTTTAAATCAATAAAACAAGATTGCAAAAAAACAGCAGAGTAGCATTTTTTGAAATGAACGTGCAGATGATAAGTATTTACGTGCCAGTAATTATGACAATGGTATAAGTCACACATACACACATTCAATTAGATGAATTTTATATTTATTTTATGGTGCAAATAATTTTAATATAAATTAAATCACATAGAATTAATTTTGTCAAGTTTTTGACTTATTAGTACAGTGTCATAATTACCGTAACATATATCTTGTATTTAACGTGAAATGATCAAAAAAATTAAAATCGATATCCTTTGTCCGTGGAAAAAACAAGATAGAAAAGAAACGTGTAAGCGTGATAAATTTAAAATTAGTTAAGTTAAACGTCACGTCATACGATCAACGAGGAGATGGCATTTAAACGTCCCGTTCGTGGATTGATTGCAAACGCCTCGCGAAACGTATACAGCGCGTTAAAGCGTGTTTCTTACGTCAAATAAACAACATAAGACTAGTGTAAAAACGTATATGTATATATATATATTATATGTACGGTATACACATCTCGAGCCACACAACTTGAAATTTTTTTTTTACGAAGAAAATTTAACGCGTAGCTGCGTCGTACCAAACAGTATAATCAATTTTGTTTCTTTCTCTTTCTTTTAACATACACATGCACACACAAACAAAACATTTTTTTTGTTTTCCTTATTCGTGTATTCTCCTTACACCTGCTTTTTTTTTTTAAGCGCATCTTATTAGCACGTTTCGTCATAACACATAATAATAAGAATTATTTCAATATTTTTATTCTAGAAAAATAACGTTATGAAAATTCTCCCGTCTGGCGGGGATGAATCGTTAAAAACGTTATTAGAGCCATTTCTTAAGTAAAAATATAAATATTTCATTCACAGTGCGATATCATCATTATCACCATCGTTGTCGTATTTGTCATTGTCCATTGTCACGTCAATTGTAATTGTCATGTCGTCATCGTAAAACAAGCTCGTGCTCGTGTACTTAGAAATGATATCCTATATATACCTAATACATTCCGATTATAATACTTTTCTTCTATTAACATTTAATACTTATATCCTGTCTTACATTATCGCAGTTTTCTTAAACCTTAAAGATCCGACGACGAATAATAACAATATAGTTATAATAATAAATAAGAGTAAATAATAATATTATTGATAATAATAATAGTACCGTAACGCTTTCTTTCAGAACGTCAAAAAAAGGTTTAGATTTACCAAAGAAAACCCGGTCCTTCCCCTCAAAAAAAAACAAAAAATATAAAACTGTAGATCCTTAAAGTTTAAGGTTCATCATCGCAGAACGATTATCAATCGTTTACGAGTATCCTCTTTTACCTGACGAATATAATATACGCACGATCGTGTAATACGCTCATTATCATAATATCTAATACAATAATGAAAGACGTCTTTGTTTCCTATCTCTTTGATATCTTTATCATCTCCCCTTTGTTCTCTCTCATTCATACGGCAGTTGCTACGATCATCATCTCGCTTTTTCACCACAGCTGCTGTTTTTTATTATCGTATTAAAATCGAATCGTTCGTTTACGCGTAGGCAAATAAATCACGTAGGAAGTATTTATATAATTATTTTAAGAGGTCATTGGGTAACCCTTGAATAATCGTAAAAGAGCTATTAATCCAAAAAATGAAATGATTTAGAACAACGCAAAATCAAACCCAAGATTCGAGCTCACTTATATTTATCGATATAACTTATCGATCATACTAAAAAAACACTCGAAACTGTTCAATTCTCTGACTATGAAGACAGTAATATTCTTGATATTTTTTTTTATTTTTCCTTCCTTTTCTTCTTCTATTACACGCGAATGTTGATTTTTAAATTTCCCGCGCATTTGCGTCCAGCGCGATTTCTTTCAATCGCAAAATATAGATACGAATGAATTTTTATATTCTTTCTATCTGTTTTTTATAACTCGTTCGATAGCCTACGCAATTGCAAGTTCACGATTCGATGATATATAATCAACGCGAGAGGTTTTTATACATTGCCAAAACTCGCGTAAAACTTAACAAGCATATAAATTACGTTTTATCTAAAGAAGAAATTTGATCGACAAGATCATTTTCGTGATTTATATCTCTCTTATTCTCTTTCATAAATAATCTTTCGGAAAAAGATCTTTCAAAACCTAGTCATTTTTTTTTTTTGGTTACACTTATTCTTTTATTTAATTATAAATATTAAACGTCTATATATATATAATGCTATATCAGGTTCTTACGCAAATATAAGATCTATCGATTTTACGTGTATATACGTTTATTATTTGATTACTCTTGCGTTTTGTTGTTGTTGTTGTTTTTTGATATCGATTAGATTTCTTTTCCCATTTTTGCCATTCGCTCATTTTGCTTTTTCATTTATTTCATTAACGAGACACCGATTTTAATCAAGAACAATGCTAGAGAGGAAAATGGAGGAAGCCAAAAGGTTTCAGGACGGAGATGAAAATACAATTAAGGACGGTTTGACAAAAGTTGCATACGATCGATACAATTAACTAAACACGGGTTAAACAAAGATCGTATAATTATTCGTTCGTCGAATTAATCTTTAGAATTTTTGTTTTTTTCGCATAAGTAAACTCGATGAATGAGACTCTTTGCGTCAATTTGTATCTTCCCCTCAAAAAAAATGAGAAAGACAGATTGAGAGAGAAAGAGAGAGAGAGAGAGAGAGAGAGAAAATGAGATATAAAGAAAGAAAGATGCAAAATAAATTAAAGGAAGCAAAAAAAGAATTCTATTTTCAAATAATTTACAAATGTTTTCAAAGCTAAATAAATAGAAAAATATTAGAAACAATTATAGATTCGTATGATCAAAAAATGGAAATAAGGAAATATTAAATAAATACAAAAATGTTGATCTTTGATCTTTAAATCGCGAGAAATGCTCATCGAAAGGAAGACTTGTACATTCTTCTCTCTTTTTCTCTCTCTCTCCCTCTTTTTCACACAAACACACATACACTCTGCAAGCATAGATATTTTTATATCTGTGTAATATAATAATAATAATAATAATAATAGTAAAAATATATAATAGTGCTAAATAGAATTAAAAATATTACAATACGTAACACGTTTCGTCTATGCAATGCAATAATATATATATATAATACAATGATGGACGAACAATGACAAATTTAGCAAGTATAGCATTTTAAAAATTTTTCTTTAATGTTTATTTTTAATTAATATATGTATGCGTAGGATCCTAACGCCCAGAGAAACGACTTATAAAAATATTTTATTCTCTTTTATATTTTTTAATATGCAGCTGAATAACGGAATCTTATTTTTCCTTCTCTTTTTCTCTTTCTCTCTCTCTCTCTCTTTCTATCTCTCACACATACATACTCACTTTCTCTATCAATTTTTGGTATCGATACTTTTGATTCGAAGCGACATATGCTTTTATTTTGTTCAATATTTATAATCTAAAAAAAGAAAATTCGATAGATAGAAATATAACGGGGAAATATATAATATTTCTTTGTTAGAATCAAAATTTATCGTCCGTAACGAGAAAAGAAAAAAAGAGATAGAAAAAGAATAAAACGATTGATTAGAAGAAGCACACGAGCGCGTTACGTGAGATCGTGCGTTTAAATGCGAGGATCAAATTTTCCGATTCGATATAATCGAACGGTAATTGTCGTTCCGTTTTCATGAAAATCGCGAGATTTTGTTATTACCTATGATGATATCGATTAACTTTGAGGGGGAAAAAAAAAAACGAAAATTATTTAAAATGAAAATATCACACGGTTTTGAATATATTTGTGATTTGTTT